TGACATGTTTTCATATTCATCATTCTGACGCAACAGACTGGTTTCAAGGTACAGACATCGGCTGATGGTTTTCATTGATAGGAGTAGTCAATCAAAACCAAGGCATCATGTAGACATGTATGTAGGCAAGGCATCATGGGTGGGCTGGCGGCTCAGACCAGGTGCGTCCCTGGATCCTCCTGGGCTGTAATGACATCAGAAGAGGTTAGTTACTGTTCTCAGAATCATTATAGTGTTTATAAACTATATTGTCTGTTTATTCTTATGGTTTCATGGCATGTCTCATCTGTTCTTTTACTCTTTTGTTTTTCAGATGAGACCTTCAGCAGTCTGCAGAGGTCCTCCGCTACTGAACAACCAACATATGTAAAAATCAGAAATTCTCACCTCCACACCTACATTTTGATGCAACACATAGAATCACAGACATGATGGCAAACAGGAACCCAATAACTCCTAGCCAGTCATCTGCCTCCACTGCAAAGTAAAGAGGATATCAGAGAGAGTGAATTAAGCATCAGTACAGACCAGCTTAGGTTTAATCTGCTGTGCAGAGAGGATCTCTCACCTTTGACTAAGACACTGAGCACGGTTACATGCGCACAATAATCAGATAACTGGGAATAATCAGGTAATGGTAATAATCCGATTTGACGCGTTTACGTGCACTTCAATAATCTTACAATCAGAAAAACCTAGTTTACATGATTCAGTCCTTCAGTTGGATTTCTCCTCAAGTACATGACATAAAACTCAAACTTCCTGTTACAGTAGGTACTCATATCCTTGAAAAACCTCAAAAAGTACGCAAGTCATATATTTGCAAAATAAAGCACTCATCATGCTGACAGCTTATATTCTTACAGTACTGTTTGTTTTTATCATTAACAAATACATGTGAGAGCATTCTAATGTGTAGTTTATCAATGTGGAGCCAATTTTACATACTTTGGGTAGATTCGGAGTAAAAGTACTGCAAAGTGCAATATACAAGTGTATTGTATATAAATTTGTCACACAAAGTGCATAACATATAAGTAAGATAAAATAAAAGTGACAATTTAAACACTGAGAATATAAAAATATATGATTTTATGTAAAATCTTTATCTGAAAGGAAACAAAAACTGTCAGATTAATGTAGTGGAGTAGAAAGTACAATATTTCCCTCTAAAATGTAGTGGAGTGGGAGTATAAAATAGCAAAACCCGAAAGAAACCAGATTAAAGGGTATACATGCACCGAATAATCTGACTATTGGGGAAAAAGCTAGGTGTGTTTATCTGATTTCTCATAATCAGATAATGGCTTTTATCTGATAAAGCCTATCGGATTATGCTGTTTACATGACCACTTGAATAATCAGGTAACTCCAGAAATCAGATAATGATCGGTTTATTAGTGTGCATGTAAACGCGCTCACTGATACACACCATAGTCATTTGTGTGTATCTTTTTAAAGATCAAAGCCTATATACTTTCTTGGTTTGCAAATGTCCAATCTGTACTAATGTGACTGCCACTGCTGACGATTGACAGTGACACATGTGACTGTTTTGTTGACTGAATTGCTGCAGAAAGCAACTATGCAGTGAATCTTGAAGTCTTGTCCAGAGACAGGTTTATAAACTGTGCTGTCTGCTACTTTAATTTTAACAGTTTGGATCATCACCTGTGAAAGGAAAAATCACTAAATGTATAAATTAGAAATGATCCTGACAACATATGAAAGCAGTGAGAAATTATCTTCCCTTTTCAAAATCAGTCTGTCAGAAGGACTCAGAGAAGAATTAGATCAGAGAAATATTTGTGTTTTTTTTTTCATGCTGCAGCTGCAGCCATCAAACTGAAAATTCAGGTCAGCAAGTTGTGTGGTTAAAACACTTTTTTTGTTTTTGCATTTGGTTCTGTGCTACCTGAAATCTTCCAAATTAAATATGTTTAAGTTTACATTACAGACTGTCAGAGTTTGGGTGTTGCAGCCATGGCTGAGATCAGGTTTGACAAAGTAGAAACAAATACATCTGTACACCAAGTAGATCCTGTTATGTTAGCTCAGAATGCTACACAGCATTGAAATCTGTCTTTGATCCAGCACCCGCTCCATTAAACACTGGGCTGTGCCTTTCTTTTTTTAATTTGTTTTACTTTTTTTTAGGTTTTCATACTATATTTTATTTTCCTTTGGCTGTTTTTTTAAGAAAAAACTTGATACTGTTTTTTTGTTGCTTTTTTGCTTTTTTTTAAATAAAAACTTTTTTTTTTAATGTTTTTACTTTTTTAAAAACTTTAAATTTTTAAAAAACTTTTTTTTACTTTTTAAGTATATTATTTTAACTCTTAGGGTTTTTTTTTACTTTTTAAACTTTTCTTAACTTTTTGTTACTGTTTTTTTGTTGCTCTTTTTACTTTTTTATTTCAGTTTCTAGTTTTTAAAACTTTTTTTACTTTTTTCCCTTTTTAGATTAAAAAAATGAGCCTTTCTTAACTTTTTATATTTATATATTACTTTTTTTTACTTTTTTTAAAAAAAATTTGCTTTTAAAAAAAAAACTTTTTTCCAGTTTCTACAAACTTTTGTTGTTACTTTTTTTTTTTTAACCATTGTTTTATAGAGTTTTTCTTTGCTTTTTGAAATAACCTTTTTTATTGGCTCAGAGTCTGTCAGTGTCAAAGAAAGAGGTCAGATTTGAGAGGAAGTGCCGACCCAAGAGGCTAAATTTAATTTAAAACAGCTGCTTCAATGTATTTTATGGTGAGTCTACATGTTCACACTGCTGTTCTGCCATGCAATGTGGCCTGATTTTTTTTTAACTAGTAATCACCACTATCAGAAAAAATGCCTCGTTTAAGAAGTATGGCTAATATTTTCCATCAACCATCAACACATACTCTATTAAATCCTCCTGAGGTGCAAACATCAACTAAAATTACTGCATTAAAGCATCTAAGACCCAATTTTCTAACATTTTGTCAGTTTAACATCCATTCGTTGGTTTACTTTACAAAGTAAGGTTGTACATTTATGACATGGTGGCTTATGTCCTTCACTTTTTCCTTCATAGGAATTTAATGAACTGAACCAACATTCACGTTTAATTTCCATGCTGAGTTTTAATACTGTGTCGTTGAGTCTTTGGGTGTATCTGTGCACCTGTTCTGGATGTGTGAGGTATAACATTTATTTGAAACCTTCTCAGTCTTTATGACCTTTAACATTTTAAACATAATTCATCTGATTCCTGTTTATGAATATGTTACTCAGCAAAAGAGAACCAAAGGCCGTAACAAAGCCCTGCTCAGATTGAGAGTGAGATACGCAGATAGAAAAAAAACAACTTACTGTCAGCATCCGCAGTGGAGAAGAGCGCCGCTAAGATGGACACTTGAAAGATGTTCAGATGGTAGTTTGGTCTCATGGTGGAAACACTTCAAGAACCAGCTATCCACTTCTGTCAAACATCTATCACTGTAGGTCTGCTCTAGATATCACAGTGAATGATGTGTGGTGTACTGAACTTCCTGCTTTTGTTTGCCGTGGTCTTCAGTGCATGTGTACCCCCATTAAACTCAACATATGTGTCATAGTACAGAAAAGGACATTTTAGGCACACACACACACACACACACACACACACACAAACATTTGTGTTTCCTTGGTTTTAGATTGTTTTAATGTAAAAACAGTTAAAAGTGAGTCTCAGCAGTGATGCTGTCATTTCATATTGACTAAAATCAAACAGTTATAGATACACATTGGGCTCTAGTTTCCCGGCACAGCACAGGGTGGCGCAGCAGGGTGGCGAGTATAGAAATACACAAACACACACCTTTTATCTGTGGCCAGATGCATGAACAATTTGTATGCACAAACCATGCATTCAGGAGCCACCCCCTTGCCCACTTTGCCTCCAACTTCCTACCCCTTTTGCCCTTTCATGAATATTACAGATCATGTTGTTTGTTTGCAGTCGTAGCAGTTCATCTATTTGTACACATATTAATATGGCAGATCATAACTGAACGTAGATGTGTGTCCACTCATACCTGCACTTCACACATTAAATCATGCATGTCTGTATGCATTTTATATAAAGGATATCACCCAGTCAGCACCTACACCACCTGTTGGAGAACCTCACACAGTCTGTGACATTGCACTTTCTTTTTCATTTTCATTGTCCGGTCTAATAATTTGTGGAGGGCCACAAAGCAACTACGCTCAGGGCACCCAAACAGCTAGCAGCGGATCTGGTGTGGATGAGGAGGACGGGAGCACAATCGCCAGCTGTAGCAGGATGTGTCAGTACGTCTGAGATTTGGGGAATTTTTGAGTTATTGGTTAGAAATAAGTCAGTTCAAGAGTAAGAGCGATGAGCTGGTGAAAAGTATGAAAGTTTGAGAGTAGTCAGATGTTTTAGTTGGCAACACTCGCTGTTTGTTTCAGTGGTTTGACCTGCCTGTTTTCATCCCCAACTCCTCAAATACCGCCACATGTCAGTGATTTTGGCGTCAGATACCAGTGCAAAAAAGCACCTACCAGCTTGTAATACCACAGAAAGGCATCAGTTTGTAATGTTGCTGGCAACTACGTAATATAAAGAGTTCGAGTCCTTATAGGGCAGGCAGGAGGGGAGGTGGATGGGTCCAAAACACCCACACTGTCACCTGGGAGCCCACTGTTAACACTCCATGTGAGTTTTAGGCCAAACCATGATGTTTTTGTTGAATCCTGACCACATGCTTTTGTTGCATAAGGAAATAAATGTAAAAACAAGGTGTTTTACCAACATAGTATGTGTATCTTGAAAAAGACTGTATGTATGTAATTACATGTATGTAAGGCACACACACACAAACAAACACACACACACACACACACACGCGCACCTTTTTTCCAACCTTGGTGCATCTGAAACTTGGGGGATTTCGAGTAAACAATTGTGTTTCTTTGTTTTTAGATTGTTTTAACGAAGAAAAAAAAACAGTTATGGAAACAAATTATGTGACAAAAAAGATGTGATTATTTTAAGGCCATAAAAAAGCCAATCAATTATTCCCAAAGCATATTACATGAAAATACATAAAGCCAAAGATGAGCGTTGATAAACACAAATCAGGTACAAGTTACAGGTTAGGAATTCTTGGAATGAATACAATGACATGTTTTCATATTCATCATTCTGACGCAACAGACTGGTTTTAAGGCACAGACATCGGCTGATGGTCGGTGAGGCATCATGGGAGGACTGGCGGCTCAGACTGGGTGCGTCCCTGGATCCTCCTGGGCTGTAATGACATCAGAAGAGGTTAATTACTATTCTCAGAATCATTATAGTGTTTATAAACTATATTGTCTGTTCATCTTATGGTTTTATGGCATGTCTCATCTGTTTTTTTATTGTTTTGTTTTTCAGATGAGACCTTCAGCAGTCTGCAGAAGTCCTCTGCTACTGAACAACCAACATATGTAAAAATCAGAAATTCTCACCTCCACACCTACATTTTGCTGCCAGACATAGAATCACCAATATGATGGAAAACACGATCCCAATAACACGTAACATAAATATCCAGTTATATGTTTCCGCCACTGCAAAATAAAGAGGATATCAGACTAAGCCATATAATGCATTTGAAGCCATATAATGCATTTGAAACAACGACATCACTATGAGAGAGTGAATTAAGCATCAGTACAGTCCAGTTTAGGTTTAATCTTTTTAAATTTTTATATACTTTTTTTTTGCCTAGTGGTTTTTACAAAATTCCTAAAAAAAAACTGCGTAAAATTTCCCATTCAAAGTAATTGGAGATGGTCGAGAAATTGACGTAAAATCACTCCTCTTTGAGGCCACACCAAATCACCATACTTTGACATAAAAACAATGATTCAAAGATTAAACAACTCATGAGACTCTCCACTTTATCAGACCAAATGAGCATTTTGATATCTTGCACGGTTTTTAAGAAATTTCAGTTTACATAGCATTATGTTTTCAGACATTTCAGATTTTATGATGAGTGTCTGTGGGAGAGAGCTAGAGTGGTGACATCATTGCTAGAGAGTGGAAAAGCTGGAAGATCTTAAAAATTTCAAAACAAATTGTTCTCACTGCCACAGTTATCTCTTACATACACAATTTATACATCAAAACATAGGAAAATTTGTGCTGGTCGCATAAATGTGACAGTGCAATCACACACACTTACGCATGTGGCTCAGTGAGCTTCCAAGCGAAGGGAGAGACACTTTTTTTCTCATTCACTTTCATGTAAAAAAGCTGGAAAAGAGCTGGGGGCACCAGTTTTCTAACCTGCGACCATGGTCACATTTTTGACTCCACAAACACAAAAAAGACATCTATGCATTTGGGAGAATCTCCTTTCTCTAAGGGTATCCTTATGTTAATGATTGGACCCACGGTTTTGGCGTTAAAAAGAGGTGTTTGAGGGGTCACATCTCCATTAAAAGAACAGCCTGCTCTTAGCTGCTCACTGCCACTCAGTGACAGCAACATTTCCTAGTTTGTTTGTTTTTTTCTGTTTTTTTTAAATACTTTTTTCATTTAAAAATGTTTTAAAGATTTTTTTTTTTAACTTTTTTACTTTTTTTTTAAACAGTTTGTCTTCACTGTTTTCATAGGCTCAGGGTCTGTCAGTGTCAAAGGAAGTATGTAGCCTGTGCAGAGAGGATCGCCCCCCCCCCCAACACCACCACCACCACCACCACCACCACCACAAGCGGACCGTGTCATTCTTCATACTGTGTCAGCTGACTTCCTCCTTTGCTCCTGCCAGGGAGGACAGTCTAGAAATACACCTTGTATAATACGTATGGCTAATATTTTCCATCCACCATCTTCACATACATAAAAGTCCTCCTGAGGTGCAAACTAATTAAAATGACTGTATTAAAGCATCCAATTTTTTTTCCACATTTTGTCAGTTGAGCAGCCATTTATTGGTTTTATTTACTTTTTCTTTCTAAAATGAGGCTTTCTTACGCTCATAGGAATTTGATGAACTGCACCAACATCCTACATTCACATTTGATTTCCTTGTTGAGTTTTGAGTCTTTGGGTGTATCTGTTCACCTGTTCTGTATGTGTGAGGTATGATAAGTTTATTTAAAACCTTCTCAGTCTTTATAACCTTTAACATCTTGAAAACATGATTTACCTGATTCCTGTTCGTGACTTGTTACTCAGCAAAAGAGAGACAAAGGCCGTAACAAAGACCTGTTCAGATTGATAGTGAGAAAAAAAATCAAAAACTTACTGTCCGCATCCGCAGTGGAGAAGAGCGCCGCTAACATGGACACTTGAAGGATGTTCAGACGGTAGTTTGGTCTCATGGTGGAAACAATTCAATAACCAGCTATCCACTTCTGTCTATCACTGTAGGTCTGCTGTAGATATCACAGTAAATGGTGTCTGGTATACCTGACTTCCTGCTTTTGTTTGCGTGGTCTTTGGTGTTTTGCGCACACACACACACACACACACACACACACACACACACACACAAACCTTCTATCTAGGTCATAGACCATGAGCACGTCTTTTCCCACACATAACTGACTTTTAAATTTCCACACCACCCTCGGAAGAAACATACAATTACACAAATACAAATGCAGGTAACGCGCAGAAACTGTCCATTTCATGTGAAAATGGAAGTGTGTTTTGAAAATACACAATGTGTAACAAGCATGAATTAATTCACCATCCCTGAATGTGAACAACACATGCAGGAGGATACCCAGCGCATCATATTTAGATGTGAAAGTCCACTGACAAAGCGGAGATATTTGACGGGTTGGAATGAGAATACATTGGTTTGGAAGTTATCTGTGCTCAGACGAGTTGTGCCCATTCAAGCTGGTGGGGTACTGAAAGTTTTGGCTTGTATGACATGGCTTAGTTTGCCATCCATGCTGTCAGCTGCCTGTCACTTTTGTTTTAGGCTTAACATGTTTATAGCTTTGGTAACTGTTGAAGTTTCTATCATTTTTGGTTTCTAATGATGAGTGGAGAGGTGAGATTATGTTTTCTTTGTTTTCATATACATTTATGTGACGTGTAGTTTAATTCTGCTTCCTGTTCGTCAGTTGGCACTCTGTCTGCTCCCAAATGCACAACAGATACTGTACCCAAGAAGAGAGGCTACTTTGATCGACATCAAAAGAGAGCACAAAGAACAGAGGTCCACACACACACACACACACACACACACACACACACACACACACACACACACACCCACACACCAATATAGATTAAAAGACAATCACATTTAAAAAAGGGTATCTGCAGCAGATGTGTGGACACTGACTGTTACCTGTACAGGAAACAAAACTATTTACCTGTAAATGTGTTACACTCTGCGCACACACACACACACACACACACACACACACACACACACACACACACACACACACACTGGTAGATCCAGAAATTTCACTTCTGCTTTTAAACAGCTTTATTCACAGGAAGTCAGAAGCACAAAGCGGAGCCAGCAGTAATATTCAACGATATCCATGGCAGTAAACACATCATTATGAAGAAAAAGTTCATATTTTGTTAATAGGTCATGAAAACTGAATCAATAATTCACAAAGCATATTACTTAGAAAAACATAAAACCAAAGCCGAGCATTGATATGAATCATTTTGACTCCGCAGACTGATCTCAAGGCACAGACATCAGGACGACTGATCGTTTAGATCTGAGTGGTGGCAGCATCACGGGGGGGCTGGTGGTTCGGCTCTCTTGTGTCCCTGGATTTTCCTGCACAGTTGGATTGACATCAGAAGAGGTTAGCTACTGTTTTTTTATGTTTTCTTCTTTTGTAAAGAGGAATGTATGTATGTAAAAAATTAGAAATTCCCACCTTTACATCCACATCTTGATCCAACATATATAGCTACAACTATGATGACAAACGCCATGATCCCAACAACACAGTACACATATGGCCAGAAAGTGTCCTGAGCTGCAGGACTCTCTGCAACATAAAACAGGACATTTGAATAAGTTTCGTGTGCGTGTGTTTTCTTACCTGGTTCCAAAGTCGTCCATGTACCTGTGGTGAGTTTGACATCTGAAAAGCATTCAGATAGTTAACACGTCTTCAGTCTGATTATTTTGGAAATAATAAGGGCTTCTCAATTAATAATGTAGTAGTAGTAAGAAATGGTTTCCTGCGTCTGTACAGTCCAGTATAGGTTTAGTTCTGCTGTGCAGAAAGGATCACTCACCGTGGACAGAGACGTTGATGTTATGACTCACAATGCCTCCACTTTGACACTGATACACACCCGAGTCGCTTCTGAATATGTTTTGGAAGATCAAAAACGAATGGTTTACAAGTTCCCATTCCATTTTAATGCGACTGCTGACATCGACAGGGAAGTCAGTTTTCTCTCGCTTATACCAGGTGACTGTTGGTGGTGAATTATTGCAGAAAGCAACAGTGCAGTTAATCCTGAGGTCTTCTCCAGTGACAGTTTCATAAACTGTGTCACGGGCCACTTTAAGATCAACTTCACAGTCTGAATCTTCACCTGTAAAAGGACAATGACACAAAGCACAGATCAGAAATGACAAAGTGATACCAGATGGTGATGACACAACATGAAAGCAGTGAGATGTTATCTAACAATTGACAACCACAGAAATAAGTTGTATGGGTTTATGAAATTGCTGCTGCAGCCAGATCACCAAGTCACGTGGAGTGTATTTGAGGTTAAAGCTCTGTTTTTCGTATTGGGTTCTGTGCTTCCCTGAAATCAGTTAATTCAGTTCAGTCCAGTTCAGTCCAGTTGTTGGACAAAGTTGGACTACCCAGCACACTGATCCTGTGCTAAGAGGTGGAGGTAGGAACACTGCAGTCCGTAGACAGATCGAGAGGGAATTGTCACTTTTGCTTACACACCTGCTATTTCTTAAATATCCAACTGATTGTGAGAGACAGTCTAAACACTCCAGCCTGTTCTTTTTTGTTCTGAAAATGTTGGTGCACAGCCTTGTTCTGTCGACAATCAGTGAGGTGCAGACGTTCCTCTGTGTCTTTGGCAAAGAGGAAATACAGCAAGAGTTGGAGCAGTGATGCGGCTATAACAGATCTAAGGTCTAGGTACATGTCTGTATGAGTTACATACAGTTTCAACTGATAGTATTAATCGTTCAAAATTCTTGTTATTGTGGGTTAATGGTTTAATGGTTAATTGTTAATATCCCTAAGACAGACAAATCAGGAGGCGACACAGTCTGGCACGATCTGGCTACAAATGATATGATCTTGTACTTAGCTGATATCAGGTATTAAATTAGCAGATAAAAACGAGCAGCAAAATGAGGCACAAGCTTTAAATATGTTCTGTGTATAGTGTTGTATTGTTTTGAATCTGCTTTCAGCCATCTTACTGATCACAGTCCTTCAAAACAAGCTGGTTGGATGGAGAGGGTGAGACAGCAGCACCCACTTAGGAGACAGGAAGTGTATAGCGTCCATTTTATACCACTGGTGCAGCTTGTAGTGCATTAACCATGACTACAAAGCATCTTTGGTTTCACACAGGACACTAACACCAAGTCTCCTGGATGAAAGTCCTCTGTTTGTGAGACCCATCCCCCTCCCACCACCACCACAAGCGGACTGTGTCGCACTTTATATTTCATCGCCTGACTTCCTCCTTTGCTCCTGTCAGGGAGGTCTCGAAAAATGCATTATATATGAAGTATTGATAATATTTTCCATCCACAATCTACACACACTTTATTAAGATCCTCTTAGGTGCAAACATGAACTAAAATCAGTGCATTAGTTAGTGTTAAAGACCCAATTTCTTCACATTTTGTCAGTCTAACAGCCATTCATTCATATACAGTACAGGCCAAAAGTTTGGACACACCTTCTCATTCAATGCGTTTTCTTTATTTTCATGACTATTTACATTGTAGATTCTCACTGAAGGCATCAAAACTATGAATGAACACATGTGGAGTTATGTACTTAACAAAAAAAGGTGAAATAACTGAAAACATGTTTTATATTCTAGTTTCTTCAAAATAGCCACCCTTTGCTCTGATTACTGCTTTGCACACTCTTGGCATTCTCTCCATGAGCTTCAAGAGGTAGTCACCTGAAATGGTTT